GTATACGTAGGTATGTATGGTTTAAGGTTGAGGGTTTAGGGTTTAGGTGTCCATTCTATAGCCGACTCAAATCTAGCCTAAGATTGAGGGCGGGTGCAAACCAGGTCGCCACCCATTTTCGATCTCTGCCACAATGCATACATGGACACAGAAATGAAATCAAGTGTGGCCAGAGCGTGAACTTTACGATGGTAAATAAGCCTACCAACTGAAAACCGTAAACCCTAAACGAGCTAGGGATGCAGCTGAAGACCGACTGTTGCACGCCCCGGCAGCCACAAGATCTTTAACAAAAGTGCAGACCTGCAGCTGTGAAATTATAAAGGGTCGCAGGTGTGGGCTGGAGGTGAGCATGTTCGGCACAGCACCTTACATGCTGTCTGATTGGGCTTAGTTGGGCTTAATTGCTTTCACGACTGCATATCCGGCAAAAAATCGATACAACCTTTTTGTGCTAGGTGTCGAAATGTGCGAATATCGCGCCGGGACACGAAAAAGGCATCGCAATTGGCATTCGTCGGCTGTACTACTTCGAGCTGCAAGAGCATGCAACAACAGCTCGCGCCATATTCGCACAAACAGAAATGCACGTTGTGCAAATGCCGTCTTCAACAATGGAAGATGCCAAAGTGGTGAGGGAATGTCATCAACACGCCGGAGATTTGCGCGACAAATCTTCCTCCAGGATTGCTGCCACCAGAAAGGCCCCAAAGATTGGATAACGGAGTGCTGCGCGACGCAACGCCGCTTGTTCAACGTGTAAGCAGGCCTCCGAAGCCCCTATAATCGTTCGCTAATCAAGACTGTTGCGTGAATCTCAGTTGGTGTGATTGTTGGAGTTTCTAGGTACCCGAAACTCGTTCAAGTCATGCTGAATCAACAATCCTGAAGCCTGAACCCCAACACAAAGTCCTGAATCCTGAAGTATCCGTTTCGACTTTTGGGGATTAGCCATCTAGATGGTATAATGTAATGAAAGGCTGGGGCGTGTTTTGGATGTAATAATGGAGCCTCTGCCGGGCTTCCACGGCTTCTACCCACAATCTGAACCCGCAGCAATCCCATCATTTTCCCACGCAGCAGAGCCCGGGATGTGTGCGAGGCCGAATGCGGTAGCAAGAGTTTTCATTAGTGAAGCTTACTGCATGTTCGAGGAGGAGGGGGGCAGGGTCGAGAACCTACACACAAAAGTCGGCACGACCCGACAAGTTGCATTCGAGCTGTCACTCCAAGACCTTCAATTAGACGCTGGCAAGAACCGTAGCTTCTGCCTCAGCCGGTGACATTAAAAGGTAGCATGCGCAACACCTGGAACTGAAACTGAAACGGAACAATGAATACTTGTATGCCACATGATGTGTAGTCTACAACAGCAGCACACCAACAAAAGGCAGGGCAGCATAACAGGAGTATACCCTAAACAAATACATCATAAACATGCTTCATGGAGGTGGTATGTGTGCATGTGTATGTATGTATATGCAGATACACATGCAGTGTCTATGCAATGCCACCTTGCGATGGTGCTAAAGGCCAGCACGGGGGAAACATCATCGCGAGCCTGCCAAAACATCCGTCGACTCCACAGTATTATCAACAAGCCCAGAGGCACAAGTTCATGCTGCTTCGCAAATGGCAAGAAGCACTTCCTGCCCTTGTGCACATTGGTTCCATCAAGAAGAAGCGCGAACAAGTGCCGTCTGGGGTTCTCGCGACAACTTTGCACCTAATCTTGCGCCCTCGGGGCGACAGATCTGGATGCAATAACGACACAAATAAATAGAGGAAGGACGTCGGTTCAATGCCGCAGGCAAACCAACAAAATCCTTCCTCTGTCCTAGGATCGTAGCAGCAGGGTTATGTCAAGGGATTACTAACAGCAAAATCTGGTCCCGCGACAGCAGGGAACGTCTTTGACACCAGATGGCCCGTGGCTCCAATCAAAAAGGGAGGTCCTAGCCAGGCCCCACAGCTTCCCAGGAAGTTGGGCAGCACGCGAAGTCCAGGCACTGTTTTACCTTCACCTCTTGCGTCATGGGTCCCTCTGTGGGCTTCTTTATCATCAGGAAGCTTCTATCAGCATCTTTTTCCAGCTGCATGGATTTAGCGTCTGTCTTGCCTTTACCCGAAACCCAAAAGCCTCAAACGACTAAACCCTGAACCCAACGCCCGAAACCCCTATTTCCGAGTCCACTGTTCTTGAGGTCCGCAACAATAAGCTTCAGACTACTGTTCCCGCACTCTTTTGTAGGCCAGTGCTGGAGGGTTTAGGAGTTTAGGGTTTATTCTCGTGGGCATCAGGGCCCTTAAACCCGAAACCCTTACCCTAACCGCCCTACTAGAGCCCCCAGGGCCTTAAATATAGTAGGTACCCGAGGGGTTAGGGTAAGGGCTCAAGAAGTTCAGGGTTTGGGACTCTTAAATGGGTTTCTCGCTTCGGGCTAAGAGATGTAGCGTAGGGGCCTTACCAAGTAGAATAGGGCTTTGGGGGTTCCTTATTATATTTATAGTATAATATACCTCAGAGTCCCCATTCAAATTATCAAGGCCCCTATATTGGGGCTCGGAAAGTTGGAGCCTAGAATGTGTAGGGGCCTTTGGGGTTTCATGGTTAGGGCTTAGGTTTCTTGGGCATTTCAGGGTTTTCGATTTGAGGGTTTAGGTTTATTGGGGGTTACAGGGTTTAGGGTTCATGGTTAGGGTTCAGGTTTCTTTGGGTTTTTTGTTTGTTTTACGGTTTCTTTGGGTTTAGGGTTTAGGGTTTCAGGTTTAGGGTTCAGGTCTCTTAGGGGTTTCAGGGCTCGGTTAGGGGACCCATGACTTCCAGGAGCATGTAAAAACATCGTGCCAGCGGATGCGGTAGACGGACCGGCTGCCTCACGACGGGGCGTGGAATCGGGGCTTTAGGCTAAACTCTAAACCCTGAGACACCCTAAACCCTGAACCCTCAGCCCTATCCACAGTGACTTCTGGCCTATTGCCTCACCTGCGATCGTGGCCACGGGGTCTGGTACGGAGCTCAGGGTCCCGGTTGCAGAGTTTTCCGGCTCCAAAGACGGCTAACCACCTGTTAACCTTGGAAGTATGTTACTACTACGACTAGTACAACTTCTACTGCTGCTGCTACTACTACGACTACAACTGCGACTACTACTGCTGCTCCTACTAGTACTACTACTACTGCTACTGCTACTGCTACTGCTACTGCTACTGCTACTGCTACTGCTACTACTACTACTACTACTACTACTACTACTACTGACTACTGACTACTGAC